TATCTCAGGGACTTTCAATAGCATCATATGAGATTCGAAGAGCAAGAAAACCAAACCAAATGGCACACATACACATGATTAGATTTAAAATAGATGTTACGTAAAACAACAACCAAAAATGTTTTTTTTTTTCTTCCAAACACTAAAGTCCAAACCAAGATCTTAACACCAATCACAACAACAGCAATTTTTGTACAATCCAAAAGCTAACTAAATATAATACCTGACGCTTTAGTTACAACATGCAAATAGTAGAAGTGGTCACCAGCTTTAACAAGTATAACGTTTTATCAGTCTTCAAACAGTTCTAAAGGGTCTTTTTGGTCCGATGTTATTTACACAAACACACTTTCTATAGAAAAGTATTGTTTAAATGTTATCAATCAAATGTCGGGATTTTAGTTTAATATTATTTTTAGATCCAATTCTATCCTTAAAAACATGTCCAGTCCTTCCTAAAGATTTGAACAAACCCAAAGGGCAAAAGAAAAGAGAAAGAAAGGCTATCTACTTAATGAATTGATCTAAGAGTCCCAATCGAAACCTTTTATAGAAAATAGCGAGTGGAACCGAGTTACAAAGATAATTCAAGGAAAAAAAGAAATTTTGAAGAGAATCTAGAGAGATTTAAAGTTAGACATCAATGTAACAAAATTTCAGGTTCAGGTTAGAGATTGAATCATGCCTGCAGTCAATTAATGGCCCCTGTTTATTGGTCAAGATCAATGTTACAAAATGGGTTACATAATGAGAACACAAAAACACATAAATTAACTTTTGTAGCTAGCCATATACCGAGCAAGTTAAACTACAAGTCCCTCGTAAGAGTTGAATGGCTTACTTTTTTAAATATTGGACATATAAATATATAATAATTCAATAATTCATTTTTATGTATGTATTCTAGAAAGTAAAGTGCAAAGAACTCTCCACTTCCCACAGAAGTGAGAGAGGAGGTAATACGCAAGTTCTACTTGAGTCTTCTCTGGTGAATAAAACTAAGTTTTTTTCCCGATCACCGAAAGTGGACTGGATTTAAGTGAGAATCGCCTAAATCTGTTAGGGTTTCTCTAGAAGATGTGGATTTTTTCCTGATTCGGCGCTAGGGTGGCGGAAGTTTTACCGAATCGATTCTTTGTCGGTGGACATGGATGGATCGCGTTAAGAGTTTTACCATGTCACTAATGATGAGCTTATTGGCCCCAATTGGGCGAAGAACATCGAGATTGAGTTATCGATTGGATAACTTGCCAAGCTTCGCTTATAAGCAACATGAAGTTTTTGGTGACTTTATGCTTGGCGAGTTCCATCTTATAAGTGGTTCAAGTTAGTTTACAACGAAAAACTTTTGAGCGTAGCTCAATGTCACGCTTCGCCATATTCTAGAAATTGACAAAACTCTCGTGGGATGGAAGGTTCTAGAGAGGCTAAAATATAGAGAGGCATCCATAAGACTCTAAAAAATTTCATCACATCCCAGAGAATGCTAAACAGAAAAGCTCCAAGAAAAACTCAAGAGTAACCTAGAAATTTCTAGGGTTATGTATGTACATAAAAGAGGAGTGTAAAACTCCCTGGAAACTAGAATAATCTAATGTATTCTAGAATGTTTCCTTGGGCTTGAAGCCCCTCCCCTCATTTGTAACCACCAAAGAAAGCATCCAAGCTTCCAAGCATTCAAGAGTTGTAATTGTTCTCTCTTAGTGAATTGTTCTCTTCTCCAATATTTCTCTCTATTCTTCTTCTTAGAGTGTTTTGTGCTTACAAGTCCAAGTGTTATGAGGGATATTAGGCTGATTTAGTGCTAAAGAAGAACGCTAAAGCCGCGCGGGTGACTTGGGGAAAGTTAATCTGTTACAATTGATATCAGAGCCTCAGTTCGAAGGTATAACAAAGAGCGTTAAAGAGCACGTAATGGAGTCCGAAGCCACTAATGTGGAATCTTCTCAACAGGGACAAAGTCGTCAGGAGCAACGAGATCCAGCCAAATCCAAACCACATGAGAGGTCCAAGAAGATCATGCACGGCTTTGACTCGCGTCTTGCTCGGGTTGAGGAGGCAATGAATTGCATGGAGGCCAAGTTAGAGGATCTTGGCAAAAAGGTTGATTGACTCGAAGAAGAGGACATTACAATCTATTCAACGATCATAGGTATGATGCTCCAACTAGAGAAATTCTTACGGGATCAAGGGGCTAAGATGCGGGAGGATTTGATGGGGGAGCTCCAGAAAGTATGAAGAGCCAATGAAGACGAGATGAGCGGCGTACGTACTAGCTTGGAGGTGATGCGTGGAGGCATCTTGCTATGCAAGAGGGCACTAAGGACACCCACCAACCATCAGATCATCGAAGCTAAGAGAATTAAAGTTTCAAAACCAAAGAGGTTTGGAGGAGCTCGTAACGCGAACGAAGTGAACAATTTCCTATGGGAACTTAAGCAATACTTTGGAGCGAAGGGGATTACGGATGAAGAGGCAAGAATACAATTTGCAACTCTTTATCTCTCAGACATCGCTAAGTTATGGTGAAGAAGGCAAAGAGATATTGAGAAAAGTTTATGCACCATATCCACTTTTGATGACTTCAAAAGAGAGCTAAAGAGATAGTTTTACCCCGAGAATACGGAGGATGAGGCTAGAATCCGGTTGCGAAGACTCAAGCAAACGGGATCAATTCGAGAATATATTAAGGAGTTTACTAATTTGGTCCTTGAAATCCCTAAAATGTTAGACAATGATGTTTTGTTCAACTTCATGGATGGACTCCAATAATGGGTGAAGATTGAGCTTAGGAGGCGTGGAGCACAAGATCTCGCTACTGACATCGTCGTTGCAGAAAGCATGGTCGACTATACAAAAAAGTCTACAAAACCAAAAGATAAGAGGGGTATCCATGTCAAAGAGGGGGAAGACAAGAATCAACATAAGGAAAATACCTGCCACGAATCGACTTCATCCAAGACGAAAGACAAAAACGGAAGCCTAGGAATGACAAAACCAAATCACATAAATGCTTCCTTTGTGGAGGACCTCATTGGGCGAGGGACTGTCCTCAAAAGAAGGTTTTGAACTCTCTAATTGCAAGTCATCAAGAGGAAGAGGTAAGCGATATGGAAGCCCAGGTGGAGGCTATACAATCGCTGAATGGGATGTAAGCTCCAACAAAACCACAAGCGTAAGGGTTGCTCTTTGTAGAGAAGCTAATAGGCGGGAAGACCACAAGGGAAATGGTGGAAACAAGTGCTTCCCATAACTTCATCTCTGCCAAAGAAGCAAAGAGGTTAGGTTTGCAGATGACTAAAGAAGGAGGCTCCATCAAGGTAGCATTTTTGCAGTAAAGCCAATCAATGGATTAATCAGAGGGACTAGCATTGGAATGTGGTCAGGTATCTTAAATTTATTTGTTATTCCAATAAATGATTTTAAAATTATCCTGGGGATGAACTTCTTGGATCAAGCAAGAGCATTCTCAATGCTCTTTGTGAATAGCATGTGCATAATGGAAGGTAACCAAGTTTGTTTAGTACCAACAATAAAGGCTAACATGCAAGAAGGAAACATGTTATCAGCCATTCAATTCAAGGAGAGCATTCCACAAGATAAAAGGAGCCACTTGGCAAGGGAGGTGGTGGAGACCCAAAAAGACTTGCCAAGGGAAGTGGTGGAGGTTCTTAAAGAACTACCACTAGTACCGGAGAAAGAACATCGAATTAGGTTGGATTCAAAGACTGAGTCATCAGCCATGAAGTCTCACTGCATGAGAGCACTCCCCCACACGACCAAAGAAAAACCCAAGTTTGTCAAAAGCAAATAAAGGAAGCTAGTCTGAGTGCCAAGGAGAAATCGCAATAAGAGCATTGCGAGCTTAAGTAGGGGAGAGTGTCACGCTCTGCCATATTCTAGAAATTGACAAGGCCCTCATGGGATGGAAGGTTCTAGAAAGGGCCAAAATATAGAGAGGCATCCAAGGGACTCTAGAAAATTCCACCAAATTCCGGAGAACGTTAAACGAAAAAGCTCCAAGAAAAACTCAAGAATAACCCAGCAAGTTATAGGGCTATATATGTACATAACAGAGAAGTGCAGAACTCTCTAGAAACTAGAATCCAATGTAATTTAGAATGTTCCCTTGGAGCCCCACTGAGGAAAGCATCCAAGCTTCCAAGCATTCAAGTGTTGTAATTGTTCTTTCTTAGTGAAGTATTCATTTCTCCAATACTTCTCCCTATTCTTCTTCTTAGAGTGTTTTGTTTCTACAAGTCCAAGTATTGTAAGGAAAATTAGGTTGATTTAGTGCTAAAAAAGAGCGCTAAAGCCGCACGGGTGACTTGAAAAAAATTAGTCCATGCATCAAGCTCTCTTAACAGCTTAATTAACCTAATCTAACATAATGTAATCTGAAAAAATAAGAGTTGATTTCGATCTTTCTTTCTTAAAGTCATTTATTCTATCTTGTAGATAATATAATATTTATATGGCATCAAATTAGGACATTCATTAAATATCAAAATTATTGGTTTGCTGTTAAAAAAAAAATCTATATCCCATTCATTGAATACGTTCCAGCAACCTTTCTTATAGTTAGATGAATGACTACAAAAAGAAATAACAAAATCATTATTAATCAATGTAGATATTATTACATAATTAAGATAATACTGAACTAAACAAATTACATTTTACAGATAAAACCGTTATCTAAAATTACAAATATCTGTTATCTAAATAGAAGGTCGTTCGAATAGCCATGCGAACAGAAATTGAACAGGAAGACCGTCGATCTAGTCCAGTACGGCATACCTAATTCGTACTAACTGTACACGGATTCAGTTCATGTACATATATAATCAAGCAGCAAAATTCAAAGCTCTAATTTTTCTCCAAACAAACAAACATTTCAGACGACTGAAACATAAACAAGCAAGTCATGAAGATCAAACGCAGACAAAATGCAAAAGTAAGCCTAAAAGCAGCAGATTCATCAGTTCATGAGCACATACCCGGGATCGCGATTTAAGATATCGCAGATCTCGATGTTCATCGCCCAATCCGGGCCGATAAGCTCGTCATTAGTGGCGCGATCCACCAGCGATCCGCCCATGTCCTCCAACAAAGAATCGACTCGTTAAAACTTCCGCCGCCCTAGCTCCGAATCGGAAAAAAATTCGCACCTTCCCGAGAAACCCTAACAGATTCAGACGAATCTCAGCGGAATCCACTCCGCTGCCGGCGATCGGGAGAAAATCGTAGTTTTATTCGCCGGAGAAGACTCAAGTTGGAACTTGCCAATTACCTCTTCTCTCAGCTCTGTGGGCAGTGGAGAGTCCTTTGCACTTTACTTTCTATAATATATCCATAATAATGGTTTATTGAATTATTATATTTTCATATGTTCTATATTAAAAAATAAATGGCATGCATAACATATTGTTTAGGTATTCATATATCAAATATAAAATCCTTGATTTTTTTAAATAAAATTCATATTTTAATGCATTTATTTTATATGATTTTGACAATTAATTATTATATATGTAATTTTAAAAAAAAATCAAATGATTTATATAACAATTCTTATGTATTTATATATCTAATACATAAATTTTAACATTTTATATTTTACTATATATAAAAATGAGTATTTCATTTTTTTTTAAAAAAAAATAATCATATTTTTTACGTGATGCAAAAGAATTTTGATATTATAGAAATTAAAATTAATTTTTGTAAGCATTAAATAATTAAATGCATAAGAATTATATGGTAGATATATAGAACCCTTTATTTAAATTCAAAGATATAAATATACAAATTACGACTTATGTTAAAGAGACGAGAAATTTGAAATGAAGGACAATTTGCATAATGAGCCTTGCAAAATATTTATAGATACACAATAATATAAAAAAGGGATCTGTGCATATTAATATCCGAAATAAATGACAAATTAATACAAAAAGACAAAAATGAAATAATGTAAAATACAATAAAAGAGAATAAAAAATGGAATAATATAAATTTGAATAAAAGTGATTTATGAAATTCCTTTAATATTATGTACTTAAATATAAAATAATTTAGTAGTATAAATGTACTTTTTATTTTCATATGTTTCATATGAAAATTTTAAAAACCCTTGGAAAAAAATTAAATCCACACTTCCACCAACATTAGAATGTGTTATGACTAGGTTAACTTTTCATTGTATATCATAATCTAGCTAAGACTTGCATGCTACAAAATTCATGTTGATAGAAAAATATTAAGACTTAGCATATTATAATTTCACAACTCACGTTTAAATAAAAATGCAGGCAGGAGACAACTAAATTTTTTACATGAAAAACTAAAAAAAGAAAAAAAAAAATACGACAAAGTTTCGCCTCAGTAAATTGAAATTGTAGATGTTTGCTCCTCTCCAGATTAAGGAATATGGGATTAAAATAGTATGTTGAAGCTATAACTATAAAATAACCTGACAAATACAACCTTATATGAGTAGTTAAGACTACAATAATTATTGTTAGTGGAGATTGATGGCAGCATTTGGTGGTTGGCAGTGAACTCTAATGGTTGGCAGCAAATACTAATGACTAGAGACGACCACTGAGACTTCAAGAATTAAACTTTAGTAGTTAGTTCACTTTCTTCTTTTTTACTCTCCTTTCCGAGTAAAAAATATGTGGTTGGCAGCAAATACTAATGACTAGAGACGACCATTGAGACTTCAAGAATTAAACTTTAGTAGTTAGCTCACTTTCTTCTTTTTTACTCTCCTCTTCGAGTAAAAAATATAGGCATATTTATAATTTTTTAGATAAACATTTTGATAATATTTAAGTGGCTCATTTGATGTTTCTCATCAAGACACTTGATTTGATTATAAGTGCACCAAATTTTAAGATCATTTGTCTCCCAATTGATGAAATAAAAGTACGTGGTCATCGTCATTTGGCTTTGGATTAGATGTTTTTCGACATCAATGTGTTGATATTGACAAAATGCTCAATATGACTATAAACTTGTTAAAATTATGACTTATATGACATTAACTTTAAATTCAGAATGTCTCTTGCTCAAAATGAATCGAGGCTCGTGCATGATGAAATAAATTTATCGATAACACATTGAGAGTAAAACCTTAAAATATTCTCGTGATTATTTATACGAGATCATTTTACTCCAAGTATTCATAAACGTGACTATTTAATCATCATACTCTTTTAATACATATTGAAATAATCCATATGAATTTCTATTTTAGGCCTCTTTAAAAGAATTTAAGGACTAAGTATGAATTTTTATGCCCTTGGAACAATAAGACATTTCCATACATACCACTCAATTGTCACATTTTACAGTTTTGATGGAAGATTTACTTACATACCATTCAATTGTCATGTATTTACATATGTAACACCTAAACTTTAACTTTTACATACATTCAACTTTACCTATGCATGAAATGGTGTATTCCACTTTTTTTTTTTTAAATAAAAAAGGGAGGTAATTTTTGTCATATGAAATATTTGGGGGGTATAGATATAAAAGACAAATTTAGGTGCCTATGTAAAAACATTGGAATTGAGGGGTATGTATGTAAATACCCAAGTTTTAATTAGAATCACATTCAAAATATTTAATGATAAAGTATCACATGTTAAAAAAAAATTATATATTACATTTATTATTATTGCATCATTTAGATCATATATAAAATATTAATATTTTTAATGCCGTTCAATTTCCCGTCTAATTTTTGCGGCCTTGAAATACACACCACACCTAACAAAATACTAAATATTCAATGAAAGCTATGATTATAATGAATCTCTATTGTTATATTTATATATTTTTTATTCATTATAGTTATATACCCAAATATGACCATATGCTTAAATAATACTTTTTTAGAAGGCATGAAATATGAAATATGAATCAACATGGGATTTTGAGGCATATATTCAAATATCAGGTCATTCTTGCAAACTGAGTCCACCTATTGAATTGGTCGAATCGCGCTCCTCAGTTAAAGTAGTCACACATGTCGAAGCAGTTGTGTTGTGCCCACCTGTTGAAGTGATCAATCTAGTATGGGGCGAACCAGATATCGGATAAGATCATCATTTCATATAAGAACAAGTGTCCATCTTTATTTAAATAGTCGTCTGACATCCCCATCATGGTTTTTTTTATCAAGACAGCGTATATAAGTGCAATATTGTAAAAAATGTAATTTTATGACTCTTTTATTCTCTTGATTGTAAAGGGGGAAGGGGATTCAAAAAAGGGGAGCTCTCTCATGTTTTGAGAACCAGAAGTCCCTTTCTCAAAACAGTTCTCTCATTTTCTGGAGATTTGTGGGAGAACTTGAGGGCCCGTTTGGGGCAGCTTATCTGGTGCGGTGGCGTTTTGAAAACGAACCAGATCATCATTTCATATAAGAACAAGTGTCCATCTTTATTTAAATAGTCGTCTGACATCCCCATCATGGTCTTTTTTATCAAGACAGTGTATATAAGTGCAATATTGTAAAAAATGTAATTTTATGACTCTTTTATTCTCTTGATTGTAAAGGGGGAAGGGGATTCAAAAAAGGGGAGCTCTCTCATGTTTTGAGAACCAGAAGTCCCTTTCTCAAAACAGTTCTCTCATTTTCTGGAGATTTGTGGGAGAACTTGAGGGCCCGTTTGGGGCAGCTTATCTGGTGCGATGGCGTTTTGAAAACGAACCAGATCATTATTTCATATAAGAACAAGTGTCCATCTTTATTTAAATAGTCGTCTGACATCCCCATCATGGTCTTTTTTATCAAGACAGTGTATATAAGTGCAATATTGTAAAAAATGTAATTTTATGACTCTTTTATTCTCTTGATTGTAAAGGGGGAAGGGGATTCAAAAAAGGGGAGCTCTCTCATGTTTTGAGAACCAGAAGTCCCTTTCTCAAAACAGTTCTCTCATTTCCTGGAGATTTGTGGGAGAACTTGAGGGCCCGTTTGGGGCAGTTTATCTGGTGCGGTGGCGTTTTGAAAACGAACCAGCCTATTTGAGTAAACAGCGGTTTGACAACTTATGCGTTTTCAAAACGCTGAAAACAACATTTTCACACCGCACCTATCTAGGTGTGGTCGCAACATTTAGACTACGGTCTGACTTTTCTAAAAAAAATAAAAATTTTTAATAGCAATCGTACCTAACTTATTAGTTGATTATTTTTAATCAGTTTTTCAGCCTATTATTCAATAAATTGCAGCTGCCTCAAACGGACCCTAAGTGCTCGAGCTCTAGCAACATATCCACCGCCTTCTTCTACACTTTCCTCCAAAAACAGAATCTCTTACGGGTTGTATGAGCTCATAGATACTACGAGACCTATATCCAATAAAGAATCAATAATATAGGTTATTTTTAGACATCAATCTATTTTTATTTGTCTTTCAAAGTCTATATAATCACTTAAGAAATGAACACTGAATTAGATCCAATCAATGTTGTTATACTATGTTTATGCTAAGGCAAGTTAGTACAAGTGAATCTCCAAAATCCACTAGTCTTGATATAACATAACCATTATGACTTAGATAAAAAGAATTGAGCACCTATGGCTTCTTAAGGGGATCATTAGCATTAATTTACCATTATTTTTATATTTGTGTACTATATGCAATATGAGATGATAACCATGCTTTAATAATTCTCTAAAATATTAAAAATTATTATTATTATTAAATAAAAATTATTTATTTTAGCTTATAAGCATCTTAATATTTTTATAAAGAATTAATATTATATAAAGATCATACATTTATTTTATTTTTAATGATTGGCAAATCTAAAAATAACCTCAAGTATAAAATATGACATGAGCCCTAATTTAAGATATTAGTTCTCATTTTACTCACATCCCCTCATGACACAAAATAAAATTCTCTTTGTGGAGAAGAAAATCACATTTGACATAAAAATTCAATAACTCTATATTTAGGGTTTATTTGTGACAGCTGCAACTTATTAAAAATAATTGTAAAGTTGTTTTAAAATAATCTGATATTTAAAAAGCTATGATAGCTAATACTTTTTTTTTTTTTTTTGAAAAGTCAGATC